GGTCATAGGTTCAAATCCCAGTCATGCCCTTTTGCATTTTTTCCCGTTTGTCTGTTTTATTATGTTTTGTTCAACAAAGTTATGGCATGTATCTGTTGGGTGCGGTAATTTAATCCCATCATTTTTTTTTATACATGCAGCTCCATCAACAAATAATTTTATTTTCTCTTCATAATATGTATATATTTATATATGTGTGTGTTATATGTCTTTTCGGTATCAAAATAAATTCAAATTATAAATTAAATAGGCCAATCCATTTGTCCTTTGACAATACAATTTATTGAAATTGAAATTGAACAAAATAAATGTGTTTCTCACATGTAATAAATTTGAATACTGTTAAAGTTGGTTATTTAACGGTTGCTCGCGTTTTTCTCGATGACTAAATAAGCGCTAGAGCATCCAACCATGAATATTTATTTGTGGATCGTAAAGATTATGGATATACACAATATATATATTTTAGAATCATTGTCAACTCTAAAATGTCCATACCACGATGAGTGTACAGAGCCTCAAAGCGAACATTTCCACAGGCTAAGGAGGCACGGTAGTTCAGTGGTAGGACGCCGGGCTCCTGACCGAAGGCAATGACAATATGCTGTATCTTTGAGCAAGATACTTTACTCCGATTGTTCCAGTCTTCTCAGCTGTAAATGAGTACGTGGTTGGGCAGTGCTAGCATTGTTGAATGCTAGCTGTTAGCGCCGAAATGGCTGCTACGGCTGTATGCTCCCCAGGGAGTTGAGAAAGGTATTGGCTGTTTGCAAAGACCCTATAACCACGGATAATAATTTGTGAACCGCTTTGAGACGACCTACGAATTAGGTTGTGATAAAGCGGTATATAAGAACCTCCAATTATTATTATAATTATTATTATAATTATAACATCTCTTTTTTTCTGTATATAATAAAATTGACAAATAATTATTGTTGATAATTACTGCAAACTAATGACGGATTTTCAGAATGTGGCATTCACTTACCACCTGTTGAAAAGGAAAGGATGTTAAATGACGTAGATGACAGTGAACTGTATTTCAAAGCCGGTGAAACTTTCCCCTATGTTTGTACCTCTGAGTATACGAAGGGGAATAGCAGTAGGATCTGCCTTGCTGATGGACGCTGGGAACATGATCGGCCTCTCTGTGGTAAGTTAGTATAATACATTTCTAATTAATGTAGTATATCTAATAATCAATGAGACACCGTTAGCTATCTTCTGTTTATTGCAAGATTCTGGTGCAGATAAACGTAAGACAAACACGAGATTGCTCCTATAAAATTTGTTAATTGAAAGTTTGAATATTTCAGTTGATTGTATAAACGGCATACAGCTGTGAATCAGGATTTGTTTTAAAGAGAAAAACAATGACTGATAGAGAAAATGTATTTAAATGTGTTTATATAATTATTTCAGCCAGAAGAATGTGTACTTTTGAGGAGCCATGTCCTTATTTGGAAGATGCTAGTGATGCTCTACATTTTACCAAATGGAGCAATTCTACTCCTTCTAACAATACTGGATGCAACACTGACCATACTACAGGTAAGTAAGACCACGTGAGAGTGTTAACGTATTTGTTTTCCTTGAATACCTTCTACCTTTAGAGGTACGATATTATGGATGATTTTTCCAATGTCTTTCTTGTTTGATTTGGGTGAACATTTGATGTGTCCCGTATGGGTACTTACTGTAGATCAATTTGAAGTGCTTTTTAAACATGAAAGTCAGGTTACCATTGCTTATCGTATAGGTTAGAAGTCGTATGTATCATTTTCATCTTTTCAAAGTATATCAGAAGCATGAACACATGCATATTAATTGGATATTAATAATAGAAAAATCTGATTCGACGTTTTATTAAATGAATTTGAAATGGTAATTTTGTTATCTTCAACGCATTATTTTCATCGCATTAAAAACTTATCACTATGCATTAAAAGAAAACAAACTCTGGAACTACTTTGCGCTGTGCGGAATGACATTACTATGATTAGAGTACTTTGGTTTTAACTGTACAGTCAGCTGAGAACACATAATTGTGTTTGGATATTTTTTTCAAATTATAAATGTTATCTGATACATAAAGTTTAAGATCCTCTATATGAAATGAAAAACAGAAAATGCAATTTAAATTCTTTTGCATGAACTAATTACTGAGTGTCATTTCCCTTAAAATCATGACGCAGAGCAAAATTAGTATTTAGAGTACAAGACTATAATTCGCACGAACAATTTGCAAGTGACTAAGAGGTTAAGAAATTGACGTCAGTGAAATCCAAAAGAAGCTACAGGTTGATGTATATTTTGAAAAAAAACGATGGTGGAATCGCGTTATCATTTAAATACAAACAAAGTATACTTTAAAAATTGTCCACCTCTGACGATCAGTCGTGGAACTTTCATACTAAAGGTATATTCTTTGTGATATGCAAAACGTGTAATATCTATAGGTATGTATTTTACTGGTATCAATCATTGATGAAAGCAACGTTGATTTAGAGTTAGGTGTGATTATGTCAATAAGTAAGGCTTTTAACTTCAATAGTGTTGGTGTTCTATTATACGAAACTGATTATACTATCATAACTTAATCACATTCTGTCACATGACTTCAGCTTACAGGGTTATCTTTATTTCCAAACACACTGCCATCGATTTAACCGACTTAATGAATAAACCGACTTTACAGTAAAGTCAGAGATTATAAATACATTGTTTAGGTAGAAGCAAATATAACACAGCATTGTATATTCTTTAGATTATATTTTTAAGTTAATGTAATGCTTATATATATTGGATCTTTCATGAAATTTAATTTTGTTTGAGATTGAATTGAGATTTTAATTGAAGCAATTGAAACTTTTAATTAATCACAGGGCTGATCTGATAGGTCATGTTATATGGGTTATCAAGCAAAATAATATGACATGGGTATATTATATACCCATGCCATATTTGTTAATATGATTCACTGGATAACACAGTACACTATGTGATAAAAGTGTATCTTGTGGTATCAAAGTTACTACCCCATATCTTACTCTGATGACGTCACATTTACAAGATTGACTTCGATCTACATGGCATGTATCGTCAGTGATACAGAAGACGCCTACTCTACCGGGGCGTCTGGTCCTTTTCTTCATGTACGTTCTCAGTGGCCTCTGTGTAAATGCTCCGTTATTTATAATGGCGCTGGTTCGAATTTGTAATTTGCAAATAAACTTTAAAATATTTTTCGAAACTTGTCAAAAAATACATATAGGATTGGACCAAACCGTTAGGTGAAGATATCGATCATGTTGTTAGTGTTAAAAGAGTTGAACATATATTTAAGGTGTTTAAATATTCATTCTCGTTCCTTATGATAAACTCATTCTTCAACACGAAAATAACTTCGTGTCAATGCTAGGCAATAACGATTTCCAATATTTGTGTTATTGCATAGCAATTAATGTTTACTAAAGCTTTTCAAATAAATTCCAAAAAATCACAAAGGCGAGTAATTGACTTTGCAGTATTGATGACAGTGCTAATTTACTTTCAACATCAACAAAGGTTCCTGAACTTTCCATGCATGTATATTCCTTAAAAGCGACTTGAGCGTAACTGCAGCACAATTTTGCCAGATTCTAACTACCAGGTAGCTCATTCGGTAAGATAGAAGTATAACAATATGAAGTTCATGTTGCGAATCTCGGACTACACCCGCTGAATTTGTTTGAATCATAACACCGTAGTTGATATTTTTTTATATTTAATCTCTATTTTGTTTCATAAAAGTGCAAGGTTATGTTTTCTTTTCAGAAAGAATTTATCAAAGTTATTCGAGTGTATAGATACAGTTTCTGGCAGCGATACTGATATCATTAAGCCGTTCATGTTTGACTGAACAAGGAATCAATAAATAACATAAAAAAAAAAAATACTGTACTTCCTACGATATCATGAAAATAATATACAGCATTTGATACAGCACCCTATCTAGCTAGAATAAGCCACTCTAAAGTATATGGCAGTACATAGGGATACAATTGATACAATAAATACAATATACAGCACCCTATCTAACTAGAATAAGCCACTCTAAAGTATATGGCAGTACATAGGGATACAATTGATACAATAAATACAATATACAGCACCCTATATAACTAGAATAAGCCACTCTAAAGTATATGGCAGTACATAGGGATACAATTGATACAATAAATACAATGTACAGCACCCTATATAACTAGAATAAACCACTCTAAAGTGTATGGCAGTACATAGGTATACAATTGATACAATAAATATAATATATAGCACCCTATATAACTAGAATAAGCCACTCTAAAGTATATGGCAGTACATAGGTATACAATTGATACAATAAATGCAATATACAGCACCCTATCTAACTAGAATAAGCCGCTCTAAAGTGTATTGCAGTACATAGGAATACAATTGATACAATAAATACAATATACAGCACCCTATCTAACTAGAATAAGCCACTCTAAAGTGTGTTGCAGTACATAGGAATACAATTGATACAATAAATACAATATATATCACCCTATCTAACTAGAATAAGTCACTCTAAAGTGTGTTGCAGTACATAGATATACAATTGATACAATACATAAATTTAGCATGTACATTAATCAATACTATTTTGAGGAATTCACAGGACCTGCCTAAGCATGTGATCACTGCTAGTCATATGCCACCTGGCTAATATATCCATATGTGTTTATGCCTGTGTGTGTGCTGGAGATGTATTGTGCATTATAAATAATGTATCACACAATTTTAACCTTTTACATATGCACACAGTCTTAAAAACATTACGTGAAATTGACAATTTCCACATGATCAATAAAACCAGTATTAGTTCATCATGCTTCTATATTGTAGTACAAATGCAGCACAGTGTAGCGTGCCAATATGTGAAAACAACCCAATATTTAAAAACAGGAAAAACTGTATTGAATTCATAAATTACTGTTCAGATTACTTATCAAGATTTTTTTCATGTTTTCACATACTGGATTGATATGATTTGTCCTATCATGTGCAACCCAATTCGTGAAAATTAAAAAAAAAATCTTAATATTGTTTTTGCTTATTAGTGGATTTAATTAGTTTGGATGGTTCACATTAGAGTTAGTTTCCATAATAAGTAATTTAAACACAGTTATTAATGAATTCAAGATAGTTTTTCCTGTTTTCACATATTGGGTTGTTTTCAGATATTGGTACGCTACAGCGCAGTACACTGGTTCTTTTTGCTGCGCAACAAAATAAGTATCCAACATTTTGACTGCCATCCTTAAATACTACTAAAGCATGGATACATTAATGTTTCAATACTATTCTGCAGATGTTGGATGTTGATTTTAAAGAATTCAAAATATCATTCTATCAAACCTGAACACCCTTTCCCCGGACATGTTTATTATATAAGAACATTATGATTACTAACCCTAACTATGGAGCATTTATATAAAATGCATTGCTATTTTCTTGTTATTTTCATTCATACATTTGTTTACATATATGTACAACCGTTCATATTTCAAAACATCATGCTACTATTCCATCAAATTTTCAGGTTTTCAGATATTTACTAATTTATTCTGTGGAAACGATCAATTGCACGGAATGTTTTCATCCCGGATTGTTTAATGAACTATAAAAATCTGATGCAAGTAGTACCTATAAACCCATCTGTTCCTTATTATATCGACGTTTGGTATATCAAAATAGAGAACGTATGACCAAAATTAAACTATACATACGTATTGTGATTGAAACTTAAGATTCAATAAAATGTCGTTAATTATATTCCTTTCGGACGAATGCAATGCTGATTAATATACAGTTGCATAAAATGCCTTGACCTGTTGTAGATATGGCATTGCCTAAAACAAGGTATGATGTGAACATAATTCTACTTGAACTAATGTTTATACACATTTAGGTAACGGCTATTACTACTACCTCGAAGCATCTGATACATACCATGGAAGCGTTTTTAAAATGGTCACCTCAAACCCGTTTCCGGCTGGTGAACAGATATGCGTTGGACTTTGGTATCACATGTATGGGCAAGGCATGGGGAATCTGTCGATAGAGATCAGTGTAAGTAAAAACGATTACAACACCTCTTCAATATTAAATCTGGCTTGAGTTAAATTTAATGTCAAGGAGTTCTCCACTCTCTTTTGCTAGAAATTTTGCGTGTAATGTCTGATACATCCGTGTTATACATTAGAAAGCACATTTCCACAGCGGTTTCTATTCATACTTACATGGTTGGTATTGGTCACGTGACAACGAAAGATGGAATAAGCCAATTTAGACTAACATGGTTTACATTTTTGTTTATATCCTGTTATTGAATGTGCCCTTCAGTATTTCTGAGGATTTAAATGACGTTGTATTATTATCATTGATATTATAATTTGTTTTATATTTTTCGAATTATGGTTTGGGATAAAACATGGACATATTTGAACCATTTGTATTCTTTGTTTTCTTTTTAAAACACTCTCTCTTTCTTAGCCTTTTTTCCTTGTAAGACATTTATTGTTGTAATGTATTGCAGGATCAATCTGGAACACTTAAAACACAAATGCTCGTCGCATATGGTTCGCAGGGATTTGAATGGAACTATTGGTCAACTGTCGTTAACGCCCTCACATTTGATGCATTGATAGTCATCACAGGAGTACGTGGTGCCGGGAAAAGGTCAGACATATGTTTCGACGATGTGTTGATTGACCTGTGCTGAATAATACATATTCAGTTTCAGTTGACAATCAAAACACATAACTGATAAAGACGATATTGAATGGAACACTATAATGTGCTGTATTCAAAAATGTGGTATTTTACTGGATTGTTTGTCATGAAGCACGCCATTTTAATGATTGTTCAGTAATAGCCACTGACTCTAGTATGACAGTAGTTTTAAAATGTTGTAAATATAAACACAATGTCCATTTAAACGATATTTACTCTTCTTCAAGCGTTTTCCAATGTCCAATACGGTTTGCATTCAAATGTAAATACCTCTATTATCTTGGTTACCCGTTAGTCCAGTGTAAGAACCATCTGGAGAGAGCGAATAAGGTAATGTTTTGGCAGAGAGCGTGGACCCTACGGGTGTGTATGGACGTCGCCATTTTGTTAACTCTTGTGACCTCTTGAACTGTGTCAGTTGCGGTCAATTGCATGATTATTCCGTTGTGTATTGGAGGTATTGGAAAGACTGGAATCGTTGGAAATATTGGATGCGTTGGAAATATTGGATTACGAGTCAGAGAGTGAATGACGGTACGAAAAAGTGTGTAGATGTGAATAATATGAAATACTTCTATATATTAATGTTGATTTGATAACTATTTTTCATACAAGTTCCAATGTAGATCGTCGTGTTTCCTAGAGTTCAGCGGAAACTCCTTTGCGAGCAACGGATGTGGCGCCATTACCTCTTCGGAGTCGGCTTGGGAACGGGTGTTGCCCGGTTGAGCTCGTGCGTTGCCCCGTTGATGCTAGCGTTTTCCTACGTGGGACGTAGGAATTCCTTGGGGAGTTTGGAAATCAGTTGCCGTCGGACTTTCATTTGGGTGGTTGGTTTTAGAGCTGCTGGCGGCTGCTACACTTTTGAATCGTTCCAAAACCGTGAAGCTGTCAGTATGCTTGGGTGTATAGAATAAGGGAAGCAACTCTTAGAATAGGATATTGGAATGAACGGGGCATTAGTAATATTTACATCTGTTGAAGAAAGTTAACATTTTCTATCTAAGCGTACTTTTTGAGCTCCAGACTTTTGAGTTTGACTTTAATCATTTCTGGATCTTAGTTTTATCCATTTGCTTGCCCTACTATATTTCATATAGAGTTAGCATTTCATATTATTCATTGCAAATTGCAATTTCTTTCGATATATTGTCCCTACATATATTAGAAAGCTCTGGTATCCAGGGTTCAGACATAGGACTACATTTATTGTATATCATGTTTATGAGAGAATTTGGAGAGAGTCTGTAGAATTGCTGTATATGTCTCTGTATAATTTGATATTGGATTTCCTTAATAAACGGTAACCGTAAAGGTGTGCGTAAACGTATCCTGTTCTTTCAATTTCTTCGTATAAGTACTGAAATCTAGTCAGTCATACTGAACTTAATTTGGAAATACCATATAATTTACTGGGGGCTTGTCATTAGCAATTAGTGACAGTTTAAAATAGTCGTGCTCTCTATGTAAAGGGTTGAGCTAGGGGCGAAGACCATTACAATATTACTCTTTAAATAGAATACTGATATTTCCCCTCGTGACACAATCGGAAGTTCAAGTTGAACACGATCAATATTTCTCGCACCTCAGACAGGGATATCCCATATTAGAATTGTCTATCTCGCCCGATCTGTCTTGCACATTTACGTGAATTTTCGCGGAAATTTCACACAGCGATGTATTCATCCGCCCGCAAATTTGTTAACAGTTTTGTCACACAAGACTGTCGTAGTCGGTGAACGATTACCAAACATGAAAATTTATTGTTAAATATTTTGAAACCGTTATCAAAATTGTTGTATATATTTCAATGATGTTCCATAATTAATCATATTCTAATGGAAAATGCGATCCTACACACTTGCGCTAACTGTGCACAACAAAATACCTGTCATCATTTGTTGACAATCGTGTTATTACGTCACAATTATTAATTATTTATTGTATTCTCGTCTGCTCGATTGACTGTGACAGAATTATAATGGACTTCAGAATTGTTGATACAGTACGTGTTGGACAAAATGGGAGGCATGGTAAAGTTGTGTCAATTGAAAAACCCTTAGGCACACATACTTTTTACGTTATTCATTCGTTTGATGGTGAAATGTTAAGATATGCAAGGCACGAATTAATCAAAGGTCTTGATGACCATGATGTATTTGTTGATGAACTGCTACGTCTTTTTGATCAACAAAATTCACCACCTAAAAACATGTCCACGAAAGATGATGTCCTGCCCAAGGGTCGCAGTGCTACCGCCCCATCCCCGAGCCCCAGTGAAACAGCTCCACCACCCGGTGCAGCTGCCCCAACCCCACGAGCTAACGCCATCCGCACCCCTTCCGGACCGAGTTTGACACTATATGACGAGCTACATATGGATCTGCCTAAATTAAGAAGACCCCAGCCCCGTCCACCTAAATCTTATGTAAAAAAAGCAAACGATAGATTTATCGCTTTCATAACAGAGGACGTAGACGATTTAATAACAGAACACGAAAATGAAAGCACTTAAAGAAAAAAATCCGGACATTTAAAGTTGCTACATAGTTCTTTTAAAATCCAGCAGGAAAGTCGAGTAATATCGAATATACCACATGAAGAGCTTAATCTACTTCTTGCTAATTTTTTCATGAGTGTTAGACAAAAAAATGGGTCTGAATACGAGCCAACAACTATAAGAGGAATGTTGGGAAGTTTTGAAAGGGAACTTAAACAAAAAAAGTACGGTGAAAGTTTAATAACATCTGTATGTTTCACAAAAACAAGAAGCACTTTAAAAAGCAAGCAAACACATCTCAAAAAACAAGGTCTTAGAAATCAACAAAAAACAGCAGATGCGATTTCCGATGCGGATATCAATGTACTTTACGATGCCTGGGAACTTGGTTCCAATTCACCAAATTCCATTCTAAACACGCTATGGTTCAACAACACTTTGTTGTTCGGAATGAAGGGTGGGGAAGTCGATCACAGGGCTCTGTCCTGGGGTGACGTTCATCATGGATTCGACCAAGAAGTAAATAGAGAATTCTTGGAGTATAATGAGCGGCAAACTAAGGACAGGGGCAGACATTTCGCTATTTTTTAAAAAAAAGATATAAAGGACAGCAAAGGCGAACTTAAAATGTGAGAAAAGACTTACAATGTACTAATACTTGACTAGATCTTCGTTATGTCAACATCTTTGTCAGAAACTCCTGGAGAATGACATTCCTGACACACGGGTAGTACAAATCACCGGTCACAAAAATCCAAATTCTTTGAACAATGACCGGGCGATGACAAGTGCACAAAAAAATAGCATTTCGTCTATGCTTTCTAACACTACTGACAACAATCTGACAGATCGAGGTCAACACAGGCGCGTCCCATGTGTGTACCGACAATCCAACGTGCGTGCTCAACAGACATCCGAAAGATCTGTGTTTACAGGAAGTGTTATATATGGCGGTGTGTTCAAAATCACAAATAACAATCACACTAATCCAGTGGTAAATCCACCTAGTTGGGGATTCAGACGTCCAATCCTAACAGACTCTGACGATGAGATGTAAGATCTTTCAAAAACTTCTTGGCAACAAGTTTCTTTGATTCGAAGTGTGACGTCTCATAGGGTATATATACTCATAAATATCGGCTCGAAATTGACTATTTGCATTATATTCTTCTTTTTGATGTTCTTAGATTCCTAATATTGTAGATAAAATTTGATCTTCATTGTGAATTACGTTTTCTTCTTTGTAAGGACGAACTACATGTTTTACGCGGAAACATACAGACGTGGCTTTAGAAGTGAAGAGGCCGTATTTGTTAGAGGCCCCGACGGGATACGTGTAGACAATGGCGAAATTGAATATTTTTAAGTAAAAGGTGCGAGAAAAGAAATCAATTACCTGTAACTGAGCGAGATCGGGTTATTTCAGTCTCGGGCTAATATTCTGTAACATCCCAACCTCGGCTTACGACTCGGTTGGGATTATGTTACAGAATCTTAGCCCTCTACAGAGATAACCCGATCCCGCTCAGTTACAGGTAACATATTCTACTGAACATATCATGTATTAGTCTGTCCCGGTGACATAGCCACTGGTATTCGTTCACTTTATAAGCGCGATATGTACCGCATTTAAATAAAAGAAGGATATACAGTTTGTTTATAACAACCTACCACTTGTACAATTAAGACTTATGGTCTGCCATATGTCACAAAACATTTTACCATCATAATTGACTTGTAGCTTAATTGATTCATTGTCAAATCTTAAGGACGCTCTATGATTGAAATATACTGATATCCAAAAGCAGCCAAAAGTTTNCGGAATCATTTATGTGTATTAGGTTCGATAAAATATATCTGATATGTTTCTGAAATTGTTTATTCTATTTATTTTATTTTTTTTTTATTTTTTTTTTAATACAAATGTAACTTAAAAGAGTTTGGAACTATCCGATGCCGCGATGCGAAAAAGGCGACGTGATGGAATTAAATCTTTTACGATATATTCACCGTACACGTTAGAAAGATGTGATTATTTTTTCTGCGCAAACAATGTTTGAAAATATAGGATATGCTAAATCTGGCTTGCTAAATCGTTTTTGTCTAAAAAGCTCAGGGGAAAAATTTATATTTTCAAAATGGTGGCCAGTCTAAACGCATTTTCGTGGTTTTTGTGCTAATGCTGCCGGTTGGAGAGAAACATACTCTTTCATGCCCAAGGGTGTGAAAATACCTCGGATGCAATTTCCCTATCCTACACTCCTGTGCATGAAAGAGTCTTATAATATGATACATTTTTTTGGTGTAATAAAGTATCTCTTTTGTGTTCCTAAACTTGTTTTCGAGTGACATCAGTGACGCAGGTTGTTGAACCGACATAATAAACAAAAATGCATTTTTTTCTCCGTCATCCAAAAATCAATGCAATACAATGCTCAACATTTGCAAGCCCATTGCACAACACTTGCATTGTGTGATGACCAAAGATTGATGCAGAAGCATCTATATTCTTTTAAAGTTCTTATTCCATGACAAAATGATATTTCGATATTCGGTTTTATCAAAACGAAAAAAAGGATTCATATTTGACTAGATCTTCGTTATGTCATTTGCAAATTGTATTGCTCAGTCATTGTGAAATGTGCACTTGTATGGCCGAACATGTCGTATTTGTGTTTTTGCACTTTTTCAAAAATAGTATTTTTTGCCGCATTCATGCAAGTGGTGATTAGGCGAGATTGGATATAGTTGAAGGTAAGCTTTACCGATTTTGTCTTTAACGAAGACACTAGCATAGGCGCTCGACATCTCGAAATCAGTCGCTTATAATTTCAGCATTAAGAGTATCCCGAATCAACGCAAAAAGTCAAAATCATTCAAAACCTGTTTTTTGATTATTCAACTGTCATCCTAACAATTGCATTTTGGTTTGGATTAAATGTGTATGTGCAGTTTGATAAATAAAATGGGAAAACTTTATGTTTTCCATAACGATCTGATAGTGAAAAATTGTACTTTCTTTTTACTAACGGGGATGCTGTGGCCAAATAGTAAAGGCGTCTGACTGTCTACGATCACTAGCCCTCTACCGCTGTGTCGCGGGTTCGAGGCCTACGTTGGGCAGTCGCCAGGTACTGGCTGCAAGTCGGTGTGTTTTCCCCTTCTACTCCGGCTTTCCTCCACCACCAAAACATTGCATGTCCTTAAATGATCATAGCTGTCAAAATCACGTTAAACATAAAAAATGCCAAAACGAATGTTGATCTGACGTTGAGAACATCATTTTAATTTGTGTTTGAACTAGGTCATTTTAAGTAAATTAACTGTCAACTTTTTAATTGGGTAAAAATGCAATGAAGTGGAACTGGTACTACCTTAACAGACTCATATCCATAACTGGAACGTACCGAAGCTGTAACATTAAAAAAAACAAATATCTTTTCATGTGATATGTAGAATTTGCAGGCAGTTTTGGAAACTAAAATCATATAAACAAAACCTCCTGGCGTTGACTAATTTCGATAATCTATATTTTCTAACTATTGAGCGGACGGATTGGAAATTAGCGAAACATTAGAAACAAAATTAATCGTTATTTTTGTTGTACATTCGTTGTTGTAACGTATCTCTTGTAGAACACACTTACAGCGTAGATTATCAAACAGGAAATGTTGTATAACTCATTATTAAGCAATGTTTATTGTCGCTGTGTTGAAATGCTCGCGTGTTAAAAAAGAAAGAAGGTGCATGAAACCAATAATAACAGAGAGCATATGATTGGGACGTAGTCATGTGTCTTTCGAACTGTCGACCGCTTAGAA